ACACACACACACACACACACACACACACACACACACACACACTTCAACAGGGATGGATTCAGTCCTGCTGATAACCAATGGGCTGAGGTAAGAGTTCACCCATATTGTTTGTCCCTTGATTTAAAAAAAAATCATCAAATTATTGTATAAATTGAATTTATGTGACGTTCTAGTTTCCTGGCTTCTTTGAAGACCAAGGTTCCCACCCTCTGGCACGGCAGCCATTGGCTGGAGCTGTGTAGCTGCTGCCTGCCAGTGGGCTTTGGTCTCAGTACCCAGCTTGCTGTGGTCCCCCCAACCTCTCCCTTTTGTCTGCTCTCCAGGGGTGGGGCAGTTAGGTTGGTGTTGCTTCCCCCTCCCCACCACGGCCTGTACTCTTAGGTAATCCTGAGCTCAGAGTGTTTTTAAAGTCAAGACATCTTCCGTTGCCAGGTCCTGGTCATTGCCCCCAATGCTTCTTACCTGGGCACCTTGGCTGACTCCATTACCGGGGGGCCAGAATTGAGAGTGATTATGGCCAGGGTCTGGAGATGAGCAAAGGCAGGTAGGAGACAGCCCAGAGCACGGGGGATGCTTTAGTGCATGATTCATGATGGGCTGGAAGCGAAAGTGTCCCCAGTGTCTGCAGTGGCTGTGGGCACTTAATGCCTATTGTCTTTGCAGGCTATTCTGGTGACGGGAACTCTGCACCTCTGAGCACTGTGCTCAAGTTAGCAAAGCAGCTTGGGGACGCTGAGAGCAGGGACCCAAAGAGGGGTCCCGGACAGGGCTGGTGATGCCAGCAGCACTGTTTGTTTAGCTCTGGTGCCAAAGAAAAGGTTGGGCTCTGACGCAGCCCCACAACCTCAGTTGTGGAGGTCAGGTCCTGGGCAGGAAATCCTTCGGCTCCTGAGCGGAACTCTGCCCCTTCCAGCCGCAGTGCTGGAAGCCCGCCAGCCACTCAGCGGGGCGGCCTGGCTCCTCTGAGGGGCAGGCCGGCCTTCTCTTTGAAGAATGTCTCCCCTAGCCAGCATGCCAGGCAGAGCTTGCCTTTCCTTGGGGGTCACCCTTAGTTGGTCATGATGAAAAGACCTTAAGGGGTCTTTGGGAAGCAATTGACACTGAACTTCTGCAAGTGCCAAGGGGCTTAGATCCAGAATGCCAGGCGGAGCTGAGGCTCCCTGTGGCCCATTGCCCCCCTTTCACTTCTGGGCTCCCTTCTCTTCTAGCACGGTCTCTGCAGGAGTTTGCCACGGTGCTCAGGAATCTGGAAGACGAACGGATTCGGATGGTGAGTCTGTGTGGCTGATCTTGCTCTGAGGTGGTGGTTGCACTAGGGGACAAGGGATTCGTTGTCTCAGGAGAATTGGGTGTGAACCCAGGCTCTGTCACTTGCATGGTGGGAGCTCTGGAGCAAGCCTCCTAGTCTCTGAACCCTGGTTTTCCCGCCGCCGATGTGGGCACCCTCAGAGCGACTGTGCAGAATTTGGAGCCCTTGTTCTCCTCTGAAAGATTCATTGTTAAGGAACATACACAAGACTTAAGACTCAACGGTGGACCTTTTCAATCATTAAGCTTTTGAGGGGCCCTCAGGAGCCCTCGGGGTATAGCGGGTTCAGCATTGTACTGCTAATCACAAGGACAGCAGTTCGAAACCACCAGCTGCTCTGCAAGAGTAAGATGAGGCTTTCTGCTCCCATAAAACCTCCCAGTCTCAGCAACTCCCAGGGGCAGGTCTACTCTCTCCTGTGGGGTTGCTATGAGTCAGAAGGGATTTGATAGCAGTAAGTGGTTTTGAGGCCTCAGCAAAGGTGAATTACCCAATAAGCAAGGTAAACTTGTGCTAGCTTGTGCTTACTTAGTATTCTGTAGTGAACGGTTTCATGTGCTTCCCAGGCTTACTGGGACCTCTATCCCTGATAGGAATAGTCTATTGAAAAGAGGCTTCAATGCTGTATGAAGACGCTGTGGGGTTGGGAGAGAGGCAGATGCCTGCCATCCTGAGAAGTGGAATCTTTGACGTGGTGAAAAATTGTTCACTGTAGATGAGTAAATAAGCACAAGCAAACCCGTGCTTCCTGTACTTACTGGGTACACCAACCCTTACCCTTGGAACTTTCTGCGTGGAACAGGAATGCAGGTGCCTGCACAAGAGCTCTGTGAGCAGAGGCCACTTGTCATCCCAAAGCACCTACACAGTGGGGCGGTGCAGCAGACACCCGCCAAAGTGCGCTCAGTGAGAGGCACTCTAAGTTAGGGTTTTTCAAAGAGAGGGAGAACTCCAGGCGCTTAGCCATCGTCTTCAGACTAGGAGTTACTCCTCTGTGACGCAGATCACATCTTAATGGACGCGAGATTACTCACCCACAGGGAATTCTTCTACATAAACCGCCCCCTGTCCCATAGCCTTAGGATATTGGGGCTGATGCCAAATTGGAGGTCCTCTGCAGGAGCCCTGGTGGCATTATGGATTAAACATTGGGCTTCTAACTACAAGATTGGCAGTTCAAAGCCACCAGCTGCTCTGTGGGAGAAAGAATAGGAAACCTGTTTGCTTCCATAAAGATTGACAGCCTTGCAAATCCTCAGGTAGAGCTCTCCTTTGTCTTACAGCAATGGTTCTCAACCTGTGGGTCACGACCCCTGGGGGTCAAATGACCCTTTCACAGGGATCGCCTGATTCATAACAGTACAAAAATTACAGTTATGAAGTAGCAATGAAAGTAATTTTATGGTTGGGAGGTCACCACAACAAAGGAACTGCATTAAAGGGTCACTGCATTAGGAAGGCTGAGAACCACTGCCCTATAGGGTTGGTGTGAGTCAGAATCGCCTCTGAGGTCAGTGGGTTTGGGCTGGCCGCATGCTCACTGGTCCCTCAGAGGGCTGCTCCCCAGGTATGCCGCCAGTGCCGCCAGTGACACTTCCTTCTGCTCTCGCACTGAGCACGCAGATCTGCCAGAGAGAGCAGCCAAGTGCTTTCCAGGTCTGGCTCCCTGAGGTGGGGCCTGCATGATTCCCATTTCCCAGACCAGAAGCTGAGGTTCCCAGAGGTTAAGTGACTTGCCCAAGGTCATGCAGCTTATACGCGCCACAGTCTATATTCCAACCCAAGTCGGCCTTATGCACAAGCACGTGGGATTTCCCTCTGCCTCTGGAGATTGGAAGCCTCTTAGCCCTTGCCCTGTGGCAAGAGGTTGAGAGCCCTGTTTCCCTGCTGGCTCGCTGCTGGGTGACAGAAGCAGCTCTGGCAGGCAGTAGGGAGCACGTATGAGTGCTTGTGCACATGCTGATGCCAGAGAAGGGAGCAATGCTTTGAAGCCCGTCTTGGCTAATCAGTGTTTGGGGTCAGGGGCGGGGGTGTGGCGAGCTAATCATGATGAATACCCAGCAGACTGCTGTGGCTGGGCTATGGGAACAATAGCCGGATTATACTTTTCAGCTTGCCGCTGCAATTTTATTATTAATGTCAGCGAAGCCAGTTTCTACCGTCTGCTTGGGCATCTGGCCATCCGAGCCCCTTCTCTACCTCCTCACCCTGGGATAGCTTCATCATCCATTCAGGGAAGTTTAGCAGAGAGACACCTCTTCCGGGATGCCTTCCCTGACTCCCCAGGGGTCTGACCATCTTCCTATTTTCCAGAACCGTTGGGTGCTGTAAACAGTGAACATGGTTGGCTGTGGACCAGAAGGTTTGGGGTTCTATTTCACCCAGAGGTGTCTTGCAAGAAAGGTCTCACAATTGACTTCTGCAGAGTCAGCCCTGGACTACCTTAAGGGAACACACCTATTCTCTGGCACACATGGGGTCTCTGAGAGTCACAGTCAATTCGATGGCAACTGGTGTGATTCTGTTTTGTGAACATGCATTTCCTGCCTGACTGTCCCTCCACACATGTACCTCGCACGTCTCGATGATCACTGAGCATGTCTGTGGTAGTGTTCCTTGCATCCACCGGAGTGCTCCGAGCCAAGCAGTCACCACAGTCACAGAAGAACCACAGCCGCAGAGGTGCCCCGTCCATCACCATCTGTAAGCTGCCTTTTGACAGCTGGGAGATTGGAGGCCTTGTCAAGGCTGAGAGCACGTAGTCATTGCAGAGCAGGGGCAAGCACTTGGAAAGCCTGATGCCCAGTGAGCAGCTGAAGGCCATTGTACATTGAGGGGCCACCCAGGGCTCGTTTCTCAGCCCCGGATACCAATTGGAATAACTTGGGGGTGGAAGGGGGTGTTACCAAACACTGATGTCTGAGAAGAGGCCAGAGGTTCCGATCTAGGTGGTCTGGAGTAGGCAGTGGCATGGAGGGTTTAGGGTGCTCTCAGGGGATTCAAGTTGAGTACCACGAGCTGGAGGGCTGGACACACATTATGAGCTTCAGGTTAAGTGACTTGCAACCATATGGTTGATTTGTGGAAAAGACATAAATACATGAACCAATTTTAAGCATCGTCAGAAAAAAAAAATCAAACAAGTTCTAACACTAGTGTTAAAACATTTGAATTCTATGCATACAGTTTCCCGAGGCTCCTTCCTCTGCTGTGGGCAGCTGATTCTATTCTTAGTCTGGAAGCTCTGCTGAAACCTGTTCACGGTGGGTGACCCTGCTGGCATTTGAAATGCCAGTGACACAGCTTCCAAGATCACAGCAGCATGCAAGCTGCTGCAGTACGACTCACTGACAGATAGTGGCACAGCACTGGGCAGTGTTTCATTCTGAGTGCGCAGGGTGGGTCTTTGTGGGTCGGAACCACCCTGATGGCACCTAAAAACACCACCACCAACAACACTATTAACGTATGTTGACCTGAAATAAACCTAAAGCCCTCTGCCCTGAGTCAAATCTGAATCACAGCGACCCTCTAGGACAGAGCCTAAGAGCCCCATAGGGTTCCCAAGGCTGTCAATCAATGGGAGCAGACGCCCTCCTGTTTCTTCTGTGTTTCTGAAATCCTCAAGCGCAAGCTCTCTGCCATCGAGACGATGAGGACCCATAGTGGCCAACGTGTAACCACTGCGCCACCAGAGCGCCGGTTCTGAAATAAGTACTCTCAGCTTTGGGCAAATGGGAAGCCATCTGGAGACCTGCCACCTTCTGCCCGTCACACCGTCCACCCTGCCCGTCTTCTGCTGTGCCCCTGTAGAACTCCGGGCATCCACTCTGCTGGTGCCAGTGTGGTTGACACCCATGCGCCTTAGAAAATGATGCTCTGTTGCATTGAGATGCCTGAAGTAACTGGCTGGACCTGAGAGTCTGTGAAGTATGGTACTGCCTCGGAAACCTTCCAGCTGGAACGGTCCTCCCCGCTGGTTTTGCAAATGAGGAAATTAGGCCCCAGAGAGGTTGAATAGTTTGCCCATGGCCACACAGTTGGCCGCTGATCAAGAAACTATTAATTGATCCATTGAGTGAGTGAAAAATCCCAGGGTGCCCCATTGCCCCAGCAAGCCTCGCCTCTGTGTTCCTGAGCACAGGATGGAAGTACATACTTGTGAGGGAGAGCGCTGCAGCTGGCATGTGTGTTTGACGAGGACTCTGGGTGCGGTGGGGAGCAGCCTCTCCTGATTGCGTTAGTGGCTAGGGAAGGCGTCCTGGGGGTGCCTTTCAAGCTGCAGCGCTGCAACAAGGAACCAGAGCTGAGCACAGAGCCTCTGGGGCAGAGGCCTGGGCCATGGGCCAGGGCAGTAAGACTGGATGGAAAGCCTGCGGGAGGGGGCCCTCTGAGGAGAAGCCGAGAGGCAGGCAGGAACCCATGGTGCCTCAGCCCTAGTCCACACCTGGTAGGACAATGCCAAATCAGGTTGAGAAGGCGGCCTTGCCACTGGATGTTCAGACGCGCTTTACTTCTGTCTGTCTGTAACCCAGGCGCAGGGCTGATCCACTTTACGTGTAACTTGGCTGGACGAGCCCTTGGTTGGAGATGCCACCTGACACTAGAAACGTCAGTCACCAGCTTTCCCACATTGGCCGAGTGTTCCAGTTCCTCACTTCTCCCTCTGAGTCAGCAGGCTGCCCCGGAGGAACTCGTGGCTGCACTCGGAGTTGACATGTCAGTAGTTCAAGCCTTGTGAGCAATGCATATGAGGGGGTGCCCCCCTAACAAACACAGAAACGAAAAACGGAAAATAAGCTTCCCTGGGTGGCTGGGCTTTCGTAGTACACATTTTCCTACTAGGCGAGCATCGAGCAACTCACTCTGAGTTAGTGCACACAGTCTAGTTGCCTGGGAAGTTCTCTCTGATCACTGTGAATTTTTCATGAAAGCGGTTCCACAGAGCAACTTGCTCCAACCTTGTTTTTTTGCAATGACCGATTTAAGAGAACTGCGTGAGGCTGTGAAATTTTGTTTCCTGATTAGGAAAAATGTTGCAGAAACCATTGTGATGTTGCGCTCAGCTTACAAGGACAGCGCTGTGGGGAAAACTCAAGTGTACGAGTGGTTTTCCCTTTTCAAAAAAGGTGAAATGCCGATTCATGACAGACCTCATTCTGGACGTCTGTCAACTTCCTGAATGGATGAAAATGTCAACTTGTAGTGCATTTAGATTTTGTTTCATCTGGTCAGATTGTGTAAGTGTGCAATAAAAAAGGCCTGATTTGTGGCAGACAGGGGACTGTGTTTGCCACCACAACAATGCACCTGCTCACGCTGCCATCTGAGTGCACCAGTTTTGGGCAAAAAACAGCATGCCTCTCTTGCCCCTGGCCTCGCTCCGGGTGACTTCTTTTTGTTTCCACGAATGCAGAGGGACATGAAAGGACAGTGATTTGATGAAGTAGAAGAGGTGAAGAAAAAAATGAGGGAGGTGCTATCAGCCATCCAAACCGATGAGTTTGAAAAAGGTTTTTAAGAATGGAATTGCAGATTGGACAAAGGTATTTAGTGTAATGGAGAGTACTTCAAAGTTGATAAGGTTGTTTTATAAAAAAACTTTAGACACATGGCTTTGGGGGAAAAAGTCCATTTTGGGGGAAGGGGGTACCCCCTAGTATACACTCACATATACACAGCCTTGATCGCACAGATCTCACCCCGCCCCCTCCCTGTTGTTTCTCTCCAGATTGAGAATGCCAGTGAGGTGCTCATTACTCCTTTGGAGAAATTTCGAAAGGAGCAAATTGGGGCTGCCAAGGTAAGACTTCCGCCAGCCGGAGTTGGTAGCTTTCCGGATGGGAGTTGTAGAAAGGGCAACCATACGCCCGGCTCCTTCAGTACGTCCTCTGGGGCAGATCCGCCTCAAGCCCGGGCCTGTGCTCTTCCTAGGGACCATTGTTAGCGAGTGTGCAGCCATACTAGTATCTTGTTCCTGAATCACTTGGTGCTAATTTCCGGAATCACCCAGAGGAGGAACCCTGAGCCCCCCACATTCTTGGAGAGCTGTGTGCTCGGGCAAGTTTTCAAGAGACCCGAGTTTTCTGTGAAATTCCCAGGTTTTAAAAATGTGTTGGAAAAGAAGACATCCTACTAAGCTCGAGGCAGTAAAAATGAAACACAGCACACCCACCCCAAACTGCACCACATCCTCAGCACTGCTTCAGCCCGGGGCTCACCGGTTATCCTGACCTCGAGGGGTGGAACCACAAGGTGGGCCGAGGTTAAGGTGTTGGGGAAGCGCCACAGAGAGAGTCCTGTTCCTTTGTGAGAGGGGCGGGGGCAGTGTGTTCTGCAGAGCCTCCATGCCCTGTGGCAGGTCAATCTCTGGGAAGCCTTAGCCAGCTGGGACCTCGAACGCACACCCTCAGGGAAGGGTTTTCATAGCAGTCTGACCACAAAAGGATGTTCAAGACTCCCCACAGGGTTTCTCAGAAGGGTGAGGCAATTTAGCTGTATTCCTTTGCGCCACCTGCAGGGGATTTGGGGCATCATCACCACCCTCTTTTCTGTTAGGTAATAAGAATTTGTACACACATTTTTCTTTTCACATTCCCAATAGTAAGAGTCTGCCACCTGTACCTAACACATTAAGGCTGTGTGTCTGACAGTAAGTAAAGCTGGGGGGATAGTGTGGGGGCGGGGGGTGTGAGACCAGTGCTGCCTGTGGTGGCTGAAGTTACTACGTGTCACCTTGGCTGGGCCGTGTTTCTCGCCGGCTTGGCAGTTAGGTCACGATGTGGGCATCCACCATTTCCACATAATAGTCTGGTCTCTGGACCCCAGTGAGGTTGATACGTGCGAATTGGGTGCACCCAGCTGCGGAAGGGCTTGTGCCGGGTAAAAGGGGAGCTGACATGTAAGGAGTTGGGGCGGTCTCTCTCAAGGACACTTGCATTCGGGAACGAGGCCAGACCGGGGCCCACAAAGAGCAGGCTTCCTCCAGTGGGATGGTGGTCCGTCATTAAAAGGAGCGGCTGTAGTGAAGATTTTCTCCCATCTCGAGTATTTGCATGTGCAGATTACAGTCCACATTTACAAAGAGATTAGAGCTTATTGGTTTTACAGCAAAGTGATGACCCAGCCAATTCTGCAGTCGACACCCCCCCACCCTGCTTTCTCCTTCCCGAGAGCACACGGCAGTGGCTTCTGAAGATGACAAGGGGCTATGTGAGAGCAGAGGAGAGGCTACTGAAACCGAGTCACCTTCCAGGGCCACTTCCCCGTGTACAGCCTTGGGACTTGGCGTGCAGGAGGAACCCCAGCCCCAGTGGCCGCTCCTTGACTTCAGGACCAGCCATCCTAAAGACCGAGGCTGGCTTCTTTTGGAAAATGGACTAGACAGAGTGAAACAGTAAATAAATGAATAAATAGAAGTAAAAGGATGTAAATAAAAGTCACCCAAATGTGTTTCCTCTGCTGGATAATTGATCCTGTCATTCTCCGTAAACAGTGATTGGGATGTTGTTTGGGATCATTTCTCAGTATGCTGTTCTCTGCCCACACCCCCATAATTCATATCTCATAATTGCTCCGTTGTGCCAATAAGTTAATCCCAGCTCCTAGCAACTCTAGGCCAGAGTAGAACTACCCATAGGGGTTTCCAGGCTGTCATCTTGAAGGGCTCTTGATGCAGCTGTGCGTTAGGTGTTGGGCTGCTAACTGCAAGGCTGGCAGTTCACCCCCAAAGCCGCTCTAGTAGAGAAAGCTGAGGCCGTCTGCTTCCACAAAGCTTTATCGCCCTTTACAGCTTTGGAAACCTGCATGGCGTCACTATGAGATGGAGTTTTCAGGGATGTAATTCTACTTGGATCCACAATCAACATTCATGGAAGCAGCAATTGAGAAATCAGATGATATGTATTTCAATGGGTAAATCTGCTACACAAGACCTTTAAAGGGTTAAAGAGCAGAGATGATCCAGGTGTGTGTGAACAAGCCAGGATCTTTTCAATTGCCTGATGTGCCTGTGAGCGCCGGACGGTGAGGAGGACAGGAGAATCGGTGCATCTGAATGACGGTGTTGGGGAGAAGATAGGCCACACCACGAACTGCTAGAAGAACAAACAAATCTGCCTTGGCGGAAGTCCAGCTAGAATGCTCCTTAGACGCGTGGATGGTGCGACTGTCTCACACACTTTGGACACATTATCGGGTGACACCAGTCCCTGGAGAAGGACATTATGCTTGGTGAAGTTCGAAGTCAGCAAAAAAGAGGCAAACTGTCAGTGAAATGCATGGACACAGGGACTGCAAAAATAGCTCCAACATGGGGCAATTCTGAGGACGGTGCAGGACTGAGCAGTGCTGCCTTTTGTTGGGCCTGGGGTTGCTCTCAGCTGGGCCTGACTCGATGGCACCTAACAACAGCCACGGCTACAGCAAGACTGGATGGCGGTGGGGGGTTGGGTTCCATCTTTATATGAGTAGATCTCCAGGTCTTTCTCCTGTGTAGCCTCTGGGTGGCTTTGAACCCCGAACCTCAACCTTTTGGTTTGTAGCCTAGTGCTTCACCATTGTGCAGCCCACTGAACAAAGGAAAAGTAAAAACACAGTCCATGAGGTCAAGCTGATGCTGACTCACCATGTCCCTGTAGAACAAAGGAGAACTGCCTTCCTTCTACATCTTCACAGAAGCAGCGCGTCACATCTCTCTTCCTAAGAGCAGCTGGTGGGTACCAGCAGCAGAGCACTTTAACGCTGCACCCCGCGCATATCTTCATGCTCCATTGACTGCGTAGTATGCTGATTTAAGGGAACCGAGCACAGAAACCACAAACTCCCTCCCTGGGGACCTGGAGGCTCAGATCCAAGAATGTCTGAGAGGCAGCGAGAGCTCTTCAGCTGTTGTCGGTTGTCGCTAAGTGGAGACTTCTGAACTCTGCCTGTGCGATGCTAACATTGCTCTTTCCTCCTCCACGTTCTGGTGCCGCTGAGGTTCCTATAACAACCCGTTGCTCCTCGGAAGAAGCAGAAGTCTAGCCTGCTTGCAGCCTGGGGGAGGAGGGCTCCTGGGTGTTCCTGTGCTCTCCCGGCTGCTCAGCAGTGGAGCAAACCACGGGCGTGGGCCTGAGCACGGACCTGTGATTAGCGTCCAGTGGAGTTGCATGTCTCTGCCACAGGGAAGCTCGGGAGCGCTTAACTCCGTAATGAAAGCAGAGTAGTGCCAAGAGTGGGCTCGGAACTCAATAGCTGGAGCCCAGATCCCACGTCTGCCACTTGTGTGTGAACTTGGAGACGTTTCCATGCCTGTTTCCTGATCTCTGAAACGAGATACTAAAAGTACTTATTTCATAGAGCTGTTAGGATGAAGAAATGCGTGGACTCATGTAAAGTCCTTAGAACTCTCAGTGTCTGTCTTTGATGTTAGCTGTTATACTATATATACCTAGTTCACCATTAGAAATAAGACATCATGTAAGAGCCTGCTCTGTGCTAGCACTGTGTCATGCAGTGATAAACACGGAGAACAAGTGGAGCATCCCTCATGATGTGCTCATCAGTGCTCATGATGTGGCCAGGAGAAAGACATTAGACAAATAGATGTGAATAAACTTACCATTTCAAATTGTGGTAGGTGCTAGGCATAAAAAATGTGTTTGGCATAAAAAATGAGTCATGTTCTTAAGAAGAAGAACTAGGTGTAGATGAAAATGGCATCATCGTCACCCTCACTGATATCATCACCACCATTAAAATTGTCACCACCAC